TTATAATATATTTGCTACAGCAATCAAGGACACTACCTATTTTGATTGAAACTTACGCATCAAGAAGTTTTATTATTTTCCTAAACAATAAAATTTAATTAAACCATGTTGCTAAAGATTTACGAAATTACCAACTAACACTTATATTATATTTTTCTTGAACTTGTCAACCGTAATCTCCTTTCACGTTACCGACACATAATCGTTCGTTGACCGAGGAACCCATTGTTGGAGCCTTGAGCATTCGATAACAAGAGGATATTACGAATCGTATATTAATAGAAATTAGAGTAAATTACACGAATGATCCCTATGGTTTATGGTAATTTGCACGTTTGATCCTAACTTATTTTTTTAACTCGAAAGATCCCTAATGTTTGTTTTTGTTACGTGTTTGGTCTCTATCACCTAAAAATACCATTTTGCTCTTGATTTTTTAATCTATTTAAATAAAGACACCTCCATTCCCACCTCCTTTACGTTTCCTTACCTAACTCATTATTTTCCCTTATTTAAATAATAGTTTTTTTAGGTAAAAAATGGACCAAACGCATAACAAAAACAAACAGTAGTAGTCAAGCGCATAACAAAACAAACAATAGAGACCTTCCCAGTTAAAAAAATAAATTAGGGATCAAACACACAAATTATCCCAAACCATAGGGACCATTTGTGTAATTTACTCTAGAAATTAAAAAATACGTGTTAATGGAGATTTTTTTTGCAAAAAGCCAAAAACCTCCGTTCACATTACCGACACATAACAAGAGGATATTACGGATCGTATATTGATCAAAATTAAGAATTACGTGTTAATGGAGAATTTCTACAAATAACCAACGTGTGGAGTATAGCTTAATTGTATAAGAAACATAATAAAATACTTAGATTAAAGTTCATTATTTTGTCACTATTGAAAAATATGTGCGTAAAATTAAAAAAAAAAGAAAAAAATGTTATGTTGTGGATCAAAGCAACGAGGTTGCTTGTATAGTGATTACATCGTGTTTTTATTTTCGCTTAAAATTCTTTGCATCATATGCATTAAATCAACAAATATAATCATATGCAAACCTCGTAATGGAAAGGATTTGGAACGAATAACATTTACCAAAACATTATTAACAAATTTCAAAGAGTCTTATTCTTTAATGGAGCTAGTTATAAATGGAAATGATCAATAATAATCCATAGTTCCATACCTAACCCATACAATAAAATGCTTAAGAGTAATTGTCATAAACAAGTAAACAAATAAAAAACTAAAATCTAAACTCACATAATTCTTATAGGTTTGGATTAGGGTTAAAACCTGCTCAGTTGCTAGGGCGTAGGTTTATCCACAAGATTATCTAATTACAAAACACCAACGCACAATAAACAAAGGAATAAACTTGTTGTTAATGTTAATAAAGTAACAAACTTGTTGATTCAAAAAATTGAATTATATTGGCTATTTAGACTCTTAAGAAATACATAAAACTGATAAGGATGAAAAAAAAATATACGGTTTCAAAAATCGTATGCAATTACAAAAAGAAGTTATAACTATTTTCCAAAATTTTATATACAAGCTTTAGCCATCTGCTTTGGTCATACATTTTTATCCATACAACTTTTGCAATAAAGTAGTTTTGGTCAAATAGCTAGCTACTTTGGTTACACAACATTGCTCATGCAACATTTTTTGTTTTCATCTTTGCATTACGTTTCTTTAAGATCAGACAAATTTTTGCTAAATTAAATTTGAAATTTCTACATTAATCGGTTAATTTTGGTGGAGGTTTTGCACTACAATCAAAATCGTACAGACGTTTTTTTAACTGTTTTGAGTAAAACACAAAAATCAAATACTCAATAATAAATAAAAATAATTTTATACAATACGGTTATGTCATATGTCATTTTGTTATAATTTTAAAGTATTTATTTTTTATTTGTCATTTATTTTATTTTCTATTTTTCAATATATAATTAATTTATTTTTATAAATTAAACATACTATATAATGACTATATTAATTTGATTTTAAATTTCAAATTTCAAACTTCAATTTCAATTTTAAATAAATTTACAGTGTAAACATTCGTATTTAACATTTGTTATAATTAATACGTTTAGTATACGGATCAAACAACTAAATACATAATTTTAATCTATTTCTTTTGCATGTTTTTTTTATAATTTTTTTTCTCATAATTTTTACTTATTTCAAATTTCAAATTCAAATATTTTTTCCATTTTTTAGTAACTCGTATAATATATGAGTCTCACACTAATTTGTAATGAACAAAATTATTCAAATATTAATAAAACTTCAAAAATTAT